GTGTGCATGTGTGTGTGTGCGTGCGTGTGTGTGTGTGTGTGTGTGTGTGTGTGTGTGTGTGTGTGTGATCTTAGTCAGAAGAATATCTACTTCAATGAAAAGAACAATTCTAGGAGAATTTCACAATAATTCAATATACTTGTATTACGTTATTATTAAATATTGTAGTGAAAGGCTTTAAGGAAGTCATGTGCACACAAAGCAAAGAAGATGTAGATACAAAGGCTGTGTAGTGGATATCTTTTACCTTCCGATGGAGCCGACTCGTGTCTCAGGGTTGAGTAAGGTCCAAAGATTCATTTGTTCAAGCCCAGCCGTGTTAACTACATGTGGACGTAATGAACCTCCCTCTAATCAGCAGAAGACCTAGGACAATGAAACGACACATTTCGTACCATCATACACAAATCTGAAGCAAAAATGTGCTTACTTTAAAATGTTTAAGTTAAATGTATGTTGTTACCTGTGTAATTTAAGTTTCGATTGAAGGAAAGAATACTGAAAAATCTGTATTATTAATGAAGTCATGTTTCTTTTTTAAAGTGGCTAAAAGCATAGCTTCTTCTAGTGTTGTTGACTGACCAGATTGGGCGCCCTAAATGAATTCACGTCTGTCTACCTCGTTTTCTTTTCATGGAATGTGGTCTTGCTTTTCTCTTTTTCCTCTACAAAGGCGTGCCAGTGTCTGTTGTGCATACATCAGGCGCTTCGCTTAACCGTTACACAAACGAGATCCCTGTTCGATTCCCGAGTTGGGAGAGTGTTTATCATATTGTACTTTAGTCTTTCTGCTTGGGGGGGGGGGGGGTCCCCAGCTAAGCGGCCCCTGACAGAGAGGGTCAATGCCTGCCTTCTTAATGATTTAAACTGTGTCGAGTTAGGCGAAAAACATCTACATTAAAATGCAAAGGCGTAGAATGAAAGTAACAGTTAGTTGTTTACTGAGATTTAAAATGAATTAAAAGGTTCACATCTGCAGTTTCCATGGAATATTCGTATAATTTAAACATTTCTGTGAGATTACATCTTTCATCAAATGACACGTGGTAAAGTCTCTAGATATCTCAATAAAGACTAAAATCTGGCAGTACAGAGTTGAGGCCACATTAAAAAGCTGACACATTCTAGAACCATTAGCTCATTTATCTAAACACTACTAAGGCTCCAAGATTAAAGGGGTATTCATGTCATTTCTGTGTCGAGGGGAATTCCAATCAGCGGACAGGCCGACAGGGCTGGTTGAAACGGCTCGGAGGTAAGCTTGGTAAAAAGATCGCTGGATGTGCAATGGAAACGTCGTGAGCTAGAAAAAAAGAGTGGATGAAAGTGAACCTGGTCAGGTGGCCGGTGTTTATGTGCTTGATCGTGTAGTTATTTATTATCTATTATCA